TATTTGCCAAGGAAAATTTGATTATTTTGTTGTTGTTAGAACCATCATCATTATTCCATAAATTACCACGAAAAGAATAATGTCATCGAATAATTTGAATGATGATGATAATGGTGGTGGCGGTTGATTATTGTAAAGGTTTTGATTGCTTCAAAGAATTTCCAAAAAAAAAAAATTCCCAGCCCAATATTTGAGTGGTTTTTTTCCTGGTTTGAATAATAACCGTATGGAATATAATACTGATCATCATCAGTATAATAATGGGCTATACATAAATTCTATGAATGAATTTATAATCAAGAAACGGAAAAAAATCAATTATAATCAATCATTTTCATTGAATCGCTTATAAGCGATGGTGTCAACGTAGCAATTTTTTTTAGTTTGTTGAAAACTCGAGGTGTTTGGTTTGTTGTTGATTTGATTAGAATTCGTATCTTTTTTTGTGTTTATTGTTACTTTTTTTTCAGGAAAGTTTCCCGGAAATACCTTTGTTTTTAGATTTATCGGATAAAAGAATTTTTTTTCTCTCATTTGTGATTGATCTATCTAGTCTAAGATCTAAGATGATAGATATTTTGTTCTGCAAAAGTTGTTACAAAAACAAAAAAGTTTTGCCAAAAATCAATGATTTTCTGTCATTGTTTTTGAACTTTATTGATTTTCAATTTTCAAATTTTTTTTCAGCAAGCAAAAAATCTTTTTGAAAAGTTTCCAAAAAACAACTTTATCTTCATTTTGTTCAAAAAAAAACTATTTCGCAATTTTTGTTGGTTGTTAAAGTCAAAATAGCCAAAAGGCAAATATATTTATTATTATCATTACACATACAAAACATTGTCACTTAGTTCAGAAAAAAACCATCATCACTGCTTACACAAACATGTCATATTTGAATTTTATTCGCAAACAGATAATTTTGTTGTTGTTGTTGAAAAATTTTTTCTACAACAACATTAACATCAACAACAACAACAACTATGGAAAACAAATTTTTTTTGTCAAATAAACATTAAAATCAGCAAAAATTTGGATTAAAATTCTGTCACACTGAATCGTATACTGAATATGTAAATTCTGTATGGTAAATTCTGTATTATACATTGTATAAAGTAGTAGTAATTTTTTCTGGTCATAATATGCATCTCTTTCGCTTCTTTTTCACTCATTTGTTATCATTAAAATGGAATTAATTCGTTGATGATGATGATGATATTCCATAATTTTTTCCATGTTAATGATGAAAGCTGATAATAACATTTAATGAATGAATGAATGAAACAGAAGAAAAAACTGGTTAAAAGCTATAATGATGATCATGATGATGACAGACATATTAAAAATAGAGAGAGACAAGATAATTGTAATTATCATTTCCATTTTTGTTTTGTTTTTCTTCTCTCAAACAAAAATTCCAGAAGATTCTGTTCAAGATTTTTTTCGTTTTGTTTTTGGTTTTTCATTCGAAAATTTTTTTGAAAATGTTTTTTTCTTGCATCATTTTTGATGTGCTTGTGCTTGTGTGAGTGTGAATAATTTACTTGTTCATATTAAACTTGAAATGAAATGTTTTTGAATTTTTTTTTCTGTTTTTCATTTTTGACACTTGAAAACTTTTCCAATTAGTTGTTTGGTTGTTTGTTTGAAATACTTTTTTTTACTCTATCTCTCTCCAAACAGAATTTCTACCCTGAACATGTGATTCTTGATTTTTACCAGGAAAAAATACACCTTGTTAAACAACCACTTTTTTTTGTTGGTTTTCTGTTTGATTTCGATTAAACAAAACTGGCTTTGTTTTTTCTGGCCACAAAGTTTTTTTTTTCGTTTGTTTGGGATAACCCAAAATCAAAAAAAAAAATCTGAATAATTTTGTTTGCAAGATTTTTGGTTTTGAACAAAAAACATCGAATACCAATAGCCAAAAGCGAAAGAGAAACAAAACACGCAGAATATTAAAACATTGTTCATATGGGCCATTTTTTTGCTGTTTTGTTTGGTCATGAACGGAGCATGATTTGTATACATATGGATGAATCTCACATAGTTGTACAGCAGACATCAAGAGAGAACCGAGAATTTCGTGATAAATTACCAGAATTTTTGTTTTGTTTGTTTCCAGAATTTCAGTTTCCTTTTTTATTTGCTGCTATCATTATCAACCAATTGGATCCAAAGTAGTGGTTGTAAATTTGAACAAAGTTTGATACTTTTTTGGTGTTTTTTCACCAACAAAAAAAAATTCTTTCATTCTTGATTCTGTTGTTAGTCTGATCAACAGCAACTTTGGACAAAGAGATTATACGAGACAAAAGCATATTGCAAAAATAAAACGAAATGTGTGTGTAATACATTCTCTATGTGTGCGCGTTTTGTTTTCCAAAAACAAAAATTCAATGTAATTTCCATTCCGTTCCTCATCAGATTCTATCCAACAATTTAATTCTTGTGTGCAATCAATTCAATTCAAATCAACTTTTGTGTGAAAAAAATCTATTGTCCAAATAAAAAATTATGAATTTAAAATCAATGTTCATTATCAGAAAATCATTATTTCATTGGTATTGGCAATTATGGCCACCAATACATAATCATCATCAACATTGTTTACAAAAAAATATTTTATCCACCAGGAATTCGATTGGAAAAATGTTATTAATATCATTAATATTAGTACAATTAATTTCAGGTAAAGATTTTCATTCTTTATTTTTCGTTTGAAAAGAAAA